GGAACAGGGCCAGCCCCCCGTGTCCCTGGTGCAGATCTGGGGGGATTTTGCCAAATTTTGGGGGTGTTTTACCCCATTTTTGGGGTGTTTACCTCATTTTTGGGGTGTTTACCCCATTTTTGGGGTGTTCTACCCCATTTTTTGGGGTGTTTACCTCATTTTTGGGGTGTTCTACTCCACTTCATGGCGTTCTGTCCCATTTTTGGGGTGTTTTACCCCATTTTGGGGTGTTCTACCCCATTTTTTGGGGTGTTTACCTCATTTTTGGGGTGTTTTATGCCATTTTTGGGGTGTTTACCTCATTTTTGGGGTGTTNCCTCGGGGGGTTTGGGGGGGATCTGGGGGGGATTTATGGGGATTTGGGGGGTATTTGGGGCAGTTTTGGGGTGATTTTGGAACAGGGCCAGCCCCCCGTGTCCCTGGTGCAGATCTGGGGGGGTTTGGCCAAATTTCGGGGGTGTTTTACCCCATTTTTGGGGTGTTTTATGCCATTTTTGGGGTGTTCTACCCCATTTTTGGGGTGTTTACCTCATTTTTGGGGTGTTTTATCCCATTTTGGGGTGTTGTATCCCATTTTTGGGGTGTTTTCCCCCGTGTTTGGGGTTGTTTAGTCCCATTTTGGTGCGTTTTACTCTATTTTTAGGTTGTTCTACCCCATTTTTGGTGTTTTTACCCCATTTTTGGGGTGTTTTACCCCATTTTTGGGGTGCTCCATCCCGTTTTTGGTGTTTTTTACCCCATTTTTGGTGTTTTTTACCCCATTTTTGGGGTGCTCCATCCTGTTTTTGGTGGTTTTTACCCCATTTTTGGGGTGGTTTACTCTATTTTTGGGTTGTTCCATCCCGTTTTTGGTGTTTTTTACCCCATTTTTGGTGTGTTTTACCCCATTTTTGGGTTGTTCCATCCCGTTTTTGGTGTGTTTTACCCCATTTTTGGGTTGTTCCATCCCATTTTTGGTGGTTTTTACCCCATTTTTGGGGTGTTTTACCCCACTTTTTGTGTGTTTTACCCGATTTTTGGGGTGTTCTATCCCATTTTTGGGTTGTTCCATCCCATTTTTGGTGGTTTTTACCCCATTTTTGGGGTGGTTTACTCTATTTTTGGGTTGTTCCATCCCGTTTTTGGTGTTTTTTACCCCATTTTTGGGTTGTTCCATCCCTTTTTAGGTTGTTCTATCCCATTTTTGGGGTGTTCCATCCCAATTTTGGTGGCTTTTACCCCATTTTTGGGGTGTTTTACCCGATTTTTTGTGTGTTTTACCCCATTTTTGGGTTGCTCCATCCCATTTTTGGGGTGTTTTATCCCATTTTTGGGGTGTTTTATCCCATTTTTGGTGTTTTTTACCCCATTTTTGTCCCCAGTACCTGATGGAAGGCAGCTACAACAAAGTGTTCCTGGCCAAGGGCAACATCCCAGCAGAGAGCTACACCTTCTTCATCGACATCCTGCTGGACACCATCAGGTCAGGGAGCCCAAAATGCCCCAAAATCACCCCAAAATCACCCCAAAATCACCCCAAAAATCCCCCTGAACCCCAAACCCCAAACCCCAAAAATCCCCCCTGAAATGTCCCCAAAAATCACCCCAAAACCGCCCCAGACCCCTCAGCTGGGCAGAGTTCATCGACATCCTGCTGGACACCATCAGGTCAGGGAGCCCAAAATCCCCCAAAATCCCAAACCCCCTCCAACCCCCCAAACCCCCCCAAATCCGCCCTGACCCCCCAAATCCCTGTGGCAGGGACGAGATCGCGGGCTGCATCGAGGCCGCCTACGAGCGGATCCTGTTCCCCGAGGCCGCGCGGATCCTGTTCTTCAGCTCGCCCCGCAAGATGACCGACTACGCCAAGAAGGTACCCAGAACACCCAGAACACCCAAAAACACCCCAAAACAGCCCAGAACACCCCAAAACAGCCCCAGAACACCCCAAAAACACCCCAGAACACCCCCAAAACACCCCAAAAACACCGCCAAAATGATCTGAAACAGCCCAAAAACACCCCCGAAACACCCAAAACAACCCAAAACACCCCAAAACACCCCCAGAACACCCAAAAACACCCTAAAACACCCCAAAAACACCCTAAAACACCCTAGAACACCCCAGAACACCCCGAAACACCCATCCTGTTCCCCGAGGCCGCGCGGATCCTGTTCTTCAGCTCGCCCCGCAAGATGACCGACTACGCCAAGAAGGTACCCCGAACACAAAAAACACCCAAAAACACCCTAAAACAGCCCAAAAACACCCCAAAACACCCCCAGAACACCCAAAAACACCCCAAAACAGCCCAGAACACCCCAAAACAGCCCCAGAACACCCCAAAAACACCCCAGAACACCCCCAAAACACCCCAAAAACACCGCCAAAATGATCTGAAACAGCCCAAAAACACCCCCGAAACACCCAAAACAACCCAAAACACCCCAAAACACCCCCAGAACACCCAAAAACACCCTAACCCTAACCCTAACCCTAACCCTAACCCTAACCCTAACCCTAACCCTAACCCTAACCCTAACCCTAACCCTAACCCTAACCCTAACCCAAACCCTAACCCTAACCCTAACCCTAACACTAACCCTAACCCTAACCCTAACCCAAACCCTAACCCTAACCCTAACCCTAAACCCTAACCCTAACCCTAACCCTAAACATAGCCCTAACACTAACCCTAAAACTAACCCTAACACTAACCCTAACCCTAACCCTAACCCAAACCCTAACCCTAACCCTAACCCTAACCCAAACCCTAACCCTAACCCTAACCCTAAACATAGCCCTAACACTAACCCTAAAACTAACCCTAACACTAACCCTAACCCTAACCCTAACCCAAACCCTAACCCTAACCCTAACCCTAACCCAAACCCTAACCCTAACCCTAACCCTAAACATAGCCCTAACACTAACCCTAAAACTAACCCTAACACTAACCCTAACCCTAACCCTAACCCAAACCCTAACCCTAACCCTAACCCTAACCCAAACCCTAACCCTAACCCTAACCCTAAACATAGCCCTAACACTAACCCTAAAACTAACCCTAACACTAACCCTAACCCTAACCCTAACCCAAACCCTAACCCTAACCCTAACCCTAACCCAAACCCTAACCCTAACCCTAACCCTAAACATAGCCCTAACACTAACCCTAAAACTAACCCTAACACTAAACCCAGAACACCCCCAGAACACCCAAAAACACCCTAAAACACCCCAAAAACACCCTAAAACACCCTAGAACACCCCAGAACACCCCGAAACACCCCCAGAACACCCTAAAACACCCCAAAAACACCCTAAAACCCCCCAGAACACCCCAAAAACACCCCAGAACACCCAAAAACACCCAAAAAACACCCCAAAACACCCCCAGAACACCCCAAAACACCCCTAAAACACCCCAGAACACCCAAAAACACCCCGAGACACCCCCAGAACACCACAAAACACCCCAAAACACCCCAGAATGGTCTGCCACACCCCAAAAATGGTCTGGAACACCCTAAAAACAGTCTGAAATACCCCAAAACCACCCCTAAAACAGTTTGAAACACCCCAAAAATGGTCTCAAACACCTCAAACCACCCTGAAAGACCCCAGATCCCCTTCTAACCTTCCCCAAACCCCCCAATACCCACCCCAAACCCCCTAAATCCCCCCCAAAAAATCACCCAGAAAATCACAAAAAAATCACCCAAAAATACCCCAAACCCCTTTTTCCCCCCTTTTAACCCCTTTTTTCCCCCTGTTTCCCCCTCTCTCCCAGCGGGGCTGGGTGCTGGGCCCCTCCAACTACTACAGCTTCGGGGGGCGGCAGCAGAAGGCCGAGGACCCCCCGATCCCCTCCACGGAGCTGGCCACGCAGGTCATCGAGTACGCCCGGCAGCTGGAGATGATCGTCTGAAAAAACCCAAAATTCCCCTCCTTTCCTCCTCATTCCCCTTTTTCCCGCCTTTTTTCCGTGATTTCCCGCCTTTTTTCCATGATTTCCCGCCTTTTTTCCATGATTTCCCGCCTTTTTTCCGTGATTTTTCCGCCTTTTTTCGCGTTTTTTTGGGGGTTTCCCAATGTTTAAAGTGGTTTTTTTTTTTGGAGGGGGTTTAACTGTTTAAAGATTATTCGGGCCTTTCCTCCAAAATTTTCCCAAAACCCCGTTTAGTCTCTTTATTTCTATATTTTATTGGGTTTTTTGGGGGTTGAAGTATTTTTTGGGGGGTGGTTAGATAGTTAAAAGGAGTTTTGGGGGTCTTGGTGTTCTCTGAAACCCTCGGGACCCCCAAAAATCCCCATTTAATCCCATTTATTCCCATTTTCTCTTTGATTTTATTGCATTTTTGGGGGAGTTTTGATGTGGGAACCCCAAAACCCCCTCAGACCACCCCCAATCCCCCTTGTAACTCCCATTTCCCCTCATTTTCAGAGGTTTCACAATTTAAAGGTTCTTTCGTGCGGGGATTTTGCGACCCCCCCCCCTCTCCCACCCCCTTTTTGGGCAGAAATGGGGGGCTGAGCCCCCTCCCCAAAAATACAAACCCCAAAATGTTGTTCCAATAAAGCGCTGGAGCCGGAGCGAGGCGGTTTTAAAGGGTTCGGGGTCGTTTTGGGCCATTTTGGGGCCATTTTGGGGCCGTTTCGTTCCTGAGGAGGCTCCGGGACCCCCGAATTGGGGAGGGGGCGGTGCCAGCCCCTCACGACGGAGCCCCGCCCCCTCATTCCTGATTGGCCGAGGGCTCCCGCCCCTCACGGCGATTGGTCGAGGCGCCGCCTCCCCAGCAAAAATAGCGCGCTCACGTGGCCGGGGTGAATGAACGGGCTGAGATGATTGGGTGGCGGATGGCGGGAATGAGAGGAGAGCGGTGATTGGTTGGAGCCGCGAGGATTGTGGCCAATGAGAGTGCGAGGGGGCGGGGTTGAGATGAGGCGAGGAGGGAGTGCGCCCCCGTGCGGACGGGAGGACCAGGGCTCCCTGTTACCCCCAGTGCCCTCCCAGTCGCTCCTGCACTAACTCTGAGGAGGGGGGAACGTCCCACAGGCCCCGCGCCGACCAATCCCGAGTGAAAACAAAAGCAAATCGACCAATTAGAGCGCGGCGCTGAGGTTGTGGGCGTTGATTGACGTACAGCCCAGCCAATGAGTGAGCGGCATGCCCGGTGTGCGAGACCAGCGGCCGGGGCTCCTCGAGATGAGCCAATGGTGGCCGGATGATGTTGATCGACGTCTTGTGGCGGCAATGGCGGGGGCGCCGCGACCGAAGGGCGCTGTGGGAAGAGGGAGGCGGGATCTGCGGGTTGGACAAGAAGAAGGGCGGGGCCTCGCCCTGACAGGCAACAGCTCCTCCAATCAGCGCGGTGGGCGGGCAGACCGTAGCGCACGACGACCAATGGGGTTCTCAGGATGGCACTGATGGGCAGCTCGGCGGACCAATAGGCGCGGGGTATTATCTGTGACGGAGCAAATCACAACGGCGTGCGGCGTCGCGGGTGTGGCGGGAACGGCGTCAGCCAATAGCATGCCCGGACCGCCTTGATTGACGCGTGGGCGGGCCAATGGGGGCGTGTCGTGGGCGGGACGGCGGAGCTGGGCGCCATGTCGCGGCGGCGGTGGCGCGGCCCTCAGGGCGCCGAGGGTGGCGGGCGCGGAGCCGACATGGGGAAGATGGCTACGGGCGGCGGCGGCGGCGGTTCTGGCCGATATTACGGCGGCGGTGGCGGCAGCGAAGGCGGGAGAGCCCCTAAACGCCTGAAAACCGAGAGCGCGGAGGCGCCGCCTCATGGGCCCGGTGGGCCGGGGGGCGCGGGCGGCGGGGCCGGCGCGGGAGGATCGGTGAGAGCCGGGGGAAAGCGGGGAAGGGGTTTGGTGTGGGGAGCGGGGGCAGAACAGCTCCTTGAGGGGGGGAAGGAGGCTGTGAGGGGGGTAAATGTGGCGGCGGGGGCTAAAGTGGGGGAAAGAGCTCCTGTGAGGGGGAGAAAATGGCGGGAAGGGCTGAGGGGGTTAAAGAGTTCCTGTGAGGGGACAAAAATGGCGGGAAGGGCTGAGGGGGGTAAACCAGCTTCTCTGAGGGGGCAAAAATGGCGGGAACCGGCTGAGGGAGGTAAAAGAGCTCCTGTGAGGGGACAGAAATGGCGGGAGGGGCTGAGAGAGGTTAAAGAGCTCCTGTGAGGGGGAAAAAGTGGCGGGAGGGGCTGAGGGGGTGTAGGAGACCCTCATGAAAGGTTAAAGGGGGAAAGAGGAGCTGAGGGTGGGAAAGAGATTTGTGTGAGGGGGGAAGTTGTGGGGAGGGGGATTCTGAGGGGACAAACATGGCGGGAAGGGCTGAGCGGGGCAGAAGATCCCGTTTGAGGGGTAAATATTGGGGGGTAGATAGTGAGGGGGGCAAAATATTTTCTCTGAAGGGGCAGATACTGAGGGGGGGTGATAAAAGGTTTCCCTTGAGGGAGTAAATATTCAGAGGAGGTAAAAAAATTGCTGTGAAGGGGTAAATATTGGAGGGCAAATACTGAGAGAAGATGAAGGATTTCTGAGGGTAGAAGTATTGGGGGGAAATGGGGGGAAGATCATCTATGAGGAGATAAATATTATGAGGAAATATTGGGGAGTAAATGCTGAGAGGGAATAAAAAAACTTTTTTGAGGGGATAAATATTGGGGGTAAATACTGAGTGGGGGCAAATATTGTGGTTGTAAAATGCTCTTTTGAGGAAGTTTAAATTTAAGGGGTGTAGGGCCCCATCTCTACTCGGCCTGGCCCCAAAGCTGTGGGGTTTGGGGGTGTCCCCGTGGTTGTGGAGTGTCCCCAAGCCCCCCAGGGGTGTCCCCAGCCTGGCAGGGATGTCCCCCAGCCCCACAGGGGTGTCCCCCAGCCCCACAGGGGTGTCCCCAAACCCAGCGGGGATGTCCCCCAGCCCCACAGGGATGTCCCCAGCCTGGCAGGGATGTCCCCCAGCCCCACAGGGATGTCCCCAGCCTGGCAGGGATGTCCCCCAGCCCCACAGGGATGTCCCAGCCTGGCAGGGATGTCCCCCAGCCCCACAGGGTGTCCCCAGCCTGGCAGGGATGTCCCCCAGCCCCACAGGGATGTCCCCCACCCCCACAGGGATGTCCCCCACCCCCACAGGGATGTCCCCCACCCCCACAGGGATGTCCCCCAGCCCACAGGGGTGTCCCCAACTCCTCGGTGTCCCCAGGAGAACTACGAGGACCCCCACAAGACGCCGGCATCGCCCGTGGTTCACATCCGCGGCCTCATCGATGGCATCGTGGAGGCCGACCTGGTGGAGGCGCTGCAGGAGTTCGGGCCCATCAGGTGGGGACACTGGGGACACGGTGGGGACAGTGTCAGTGTACTGGGGACACTGGAGTGGGGACATGGGGACGCTCTGGGGACAGGGGACAGAGGGGTGGGGATACTGGGGGGACATGGAGGGGACTTGGGGCACATAGTGGGGACAGTGTGGCGGGGACACTCTGGGGACAGTGTGCTGGGCACATGATGAGGACAGTGGGGTGGGGACACAGGGGTGAGGACAATGTGCTGGGGACACCAGGGTGGGGACATTGTGCTGGAGATAGCGTGCTGGGAACACCAGGGAACGTGGAGGGGACTCTGCTGGGGACACTGAGGACCCCAGGGTGGGGACAGTGTGCTGGGGACACGAGGCACCGGGGTGATGACACCACGAGGTGATGCCACCGCGGCGGCCATGTCCTAGCTGTGTGGTGGTGACACCATAGGGTGGTGACACCGTGGAGTGGTGACACCGTGGAATGGTGACACCGTGGCCTGATGCCATCACAAGGTGATGCCACCACAGGGTGATGGCACCACAGGGTGGTGACACCATGGGCTGATGCCACCCCGGTGACCGTGTCCCCCCGTCCCAGCTACGTGGTGGTGATGCCAAAGAAGCGTCAGGCCCTGGTGGAGTTCGAGGACATCCTGGGCGCCTGCAACGCCGTCAACTACGCGGCCGACAACCAGATCTACTTCGCCGGCCACCCCGCCTTCGTCAACTACTCCACCAGCCAGAAGATCTCGCGGCCCGGGGACAGCGACGACGCGCGCGGCGTCAACAACGTGCTGCTCTTCACCATCCTCAACCCCATCTACTCCATCACCATGGTGAGGGGGCTCTGGGGGGTCTCTTGGGGTTTTGTTGGGATTTGTTGGGGTTTAGGGTCACCAGCAAGGTGCTGCTCTTCACCATCCTCAACCCCATCTACTCCATCACCACGGTGAGGGGGCTCTGGGGGGCTTGTTGGGGTTTTGTTGGGGTATATTGGGTTTTTATTGGGATTTATTGGATTTTTATTGGGGTTTGGGGTCACCAACAATGTGCCATCCTCAACTTTCACCATCCTCAACCCCATCTACTCCATCACCATGGTGGGTTTTGGGGTGTCCTGGCTTCATTTTGGGGGTCCTGGGCTGTATTTTTGGGGTCCCAGGTGGGTGTTTGGAGCCCTGGGCTATACTTTTGGAATTTTGTGTCAGCTTTTGGGGTCCCAGGTGGGTTTTGAGGTGCCCCTGACCCCCCTTTCCCCCCAGGACGTGCTCTACACCATCTGCAACCCCTGCGGGCCGGTGCAGCGCATCGTCATCTTCCGCAAGAACGGCGTGCAGGCCATGGTGGAATATCCCAACTGGAATTTGGGGATTTTGGGGGGTCCCCGAAATCCCAGTGCCCCAGTTCCCTCAGCAATGGGGATCCCAGGGATCTGAGCTCCCCTGAATGGCTCAGAGCGAGGCTGTCCCCGTGTCCCCACCTCCCTGAGGTCCCAAAATTCCTCAGATTCCCTCAGGAATTCCCAAAATCCAGTTGGGAATTCCCTAAATCCCATCAGGAATTCCCCCAATCCCAACTCCCTTCAGGGATTCCCCCAGTCCAAATGCCATTAGGAATTCCCCCAGTCCCAAATCCTGTCAGGAATTTCCAAATCCCCGTCAGAAATTCCCAAATTCCTTGGGAAATCCCCAATCCCAAATCCCCTTGGGAATTCTCCCGATCCCAAATCCCTCGGGAATTGCCCAGTCCCAAATCCCATCAGGAGTTCCCAAATCCCTCGGGAATTGCCCCAAATCCCATCAGGAGTTCCCAAATCCCTGGGGAATTGCCCCAAAGCCCGGGGTTTGTTCTCCTTGACCCCGGGGCACGTTCGACTCGGTGCAGAGCGCGCAGCGCGCCAAGGCCTCGCTCAACGGCGCCGACATCTACTCGGGCTGCTGCACCCTCAAGATCGAGTACGCCAAGGTGGGCACACCTGGGGGCACCTGGGCACACCTGGGGGCACCTGGGCATACCTGGGATCACCTGGGGGCACCTGGGAGCACCTGGGACACACCTGGGACACACCTGGGAGCACCTGGGCACACCTGGGGGCACCTGGGCATACCTGGGATCACCTGGGGGCACCTGGGAGCACCTGGGGGCACCTGGGAGCACCTGGGACACACCTGGGACACACCTGGGAGCACCTGGGCACACCTGGGGGCACCTGGGCATACCTGGGATCACCTGGGGGCACCTGGGGACACCTGGGACACACCTGGGGGCACCTGGACACACCTGGGGGCACCTGGGCACAGCTGGGACACACCTGGGGCACACCTGGGGACACCTGGGGGCACCTGGGCACACCTGGGATCACCTGGGGATATCTGGGGCACACCTGGGGACACACCTGGGGGCACCTGGGAGACACCTGGGCACACCTGGGGACACACCTGGGGGTACCTGGGGACACACCTGGGGGTACCTGGGGACACACCTGGGGGTACCTGGGCACAGGTGGGCAGGTGCCAACCCCCCTGCCCCCCCAGCCCAGCCGCCTGAACGTGTTCAAGAACGACCAGGACACCTGGGACTACACCAACCCCAACCTGAGTGGGACAGGTAAGGCAGGGCAGCCTCACCTGGGCCAGGTGGGCACCAGGGAGGGAGGGGCCACGGCCCCGCCCCAGCTTTGGGACGATCCCTGGGATTTTGGGAGGTTTGGAAAAAGGGAGGAGCCATTGCTTTCCCACCTGGAGCCTGGGGGGTGACACACCTGGAGGGGTGACACAGCTGGAGAGGGGTCACACCTGGAGAGGTGACACACCTGGAGAGGTCACATACCTGGAGAGAGGGTCACACACTTGGAGGGGTGACACAGCTGGAGAGGGGACATACCTGGAGAGGAGACACACCTAGAGAGAGGGGCACACACCTGGAGGGGTGACCCCCGTGGGGGGGGTGACACAGCTGGAGAGGGGACATACCTGGAGAGGAGACACACCTAGAGAGAGGGGCACACACCTGGAGGGGTGACCCCCGTGGGGGGGGTGACACAGCTGGAGAGGGGACATACCTGGAGAGGAGACACACCTAGAGAGAGGGGCACACACCTGGAGGGGTGACCCCCGTGGGGGGGGTGACACAGCTGGAGAGGGGACATACCTGGAGAGGAGACACACCTAGAGAGAGGGGCACACACCTGGAGGGGTGACCCCCGTGGGGGGGGTGACACAGCTGGAGAGGGGACATACCTGGAGAGGAGACACACCTAGAGAGAGGGGCACACACCTGGAGGGGTGACCCCCGTGGGGGGGGTGACACAGCTGGAGAGGTGACATACCTGGAGAGGAGACACACCTAGAGAGAGGGTCACACACCTGGAGGGGTGACACACGTGGGGGGGGTGACACAGCTGGAGAGGTGACACACCTGGAGAGGTCACATTACCTGAAGAGTGTCACACACCTAGAGGGGTGACACACCTAGAGGGGTGACACACCTGGAGTGGGGTCACACCTGAGGTGACACGCCTGGTGCAGTTATAACGTGGGGGGAGAACCCCAAATTTCCCATTTGCTTCCCAAATCCAGTTTCTCCCTCCATTTTTGGGGTTATTTTGGGGTTTTTTTGGGACATTCTCACATTTTTGAGGCCCCAGTTCCAGGTTGGGAAGCAATGGCGCAGAGCTAGGGGGTCCTTCCCAAAATTGGGGGGGTTCCAGGGATCCTTCTCAAAATTTAGGGATCTTTCCCAAAATTGGGGGGTTCCAGGGATCCTTCCCAAAAATCGGGGAGATCTTTCCCAAAACTGGGGGGGCCCCAGGGGGTCCTTCCCAAAATTTGGGGATCTTTCCCAAAAAAAAGGGAGGTTCCAGGGATCCTTCCCAAAAATTGGGGGCCGGGGGGGTTTGGATTCAGCCTCGCCTCCTCCTCTTCCTCCTCCTCCTCCTCCTCCTGCTCCTCCTCCCACCCTCACACCACACACGGGGGGGGCCAAGCAACCCCCAAAAAATCAAAATCCAGGAGAATAAAAACACCAGAACCCCAAAAAAAAACCCCCAAAAAAATCACCAACACCAGTGGGACCCCCCGGCGAGGGACACGGCAACATGGACACAGCCCAGGAACATTTTTTAGGAATTCTCTCATTTCCAAGGCACAGTTTGGGGGAGTTTTAGGAATTCTCTCAACATCAACACAACCCGGGAGCGTTTCATGGGAATTGTGGCAATCCCAAGGCACAGTTTGGGTGAATTTTAGGAATTTCAACACCATCAGCACAACCCAGGAGCGTTTCTTAGGAATTCTCTCCAAGGCACAATTTGGGCAAATTTAGGAATTCATCAACACAACCCGGGAGCATTTCGTGGGAATTTTTTGATTTCCAAGGTACAAAACTCACTGGTTTTTGGGAATTCTCTCAACGTGGACACAACCCACGAACCATTTGGGGTTTTTTAGGAATTCTCTCATTTCCAAGGCACAAAACCCGGTGGGTTTCAGGAATTTCAGCAACATGGACACAACCCAAGAGCATTTCTTAGGAATTCTCTCCTTTCCAAGGCACAGTTTGGGTGAACTTTAGGATTTCTCTCAACATCAACACAACCCGAGAACATTTCATGGGAATTTTGGCACTTCCAAGGCTCAGTTTGGGTGAATTTTAGGAATTCATCAACACAACCAGAGAACATTTAACGAGAATTTTGGCACTTCCAAGGCACAGTTTGGGTGAATTTTAGGAATTCATCAACACAACCCAAGAACATTTCATGGGAATTTTGGCACTTCCAAGGCACAGTTTGGGTGAATTTTATGAATTCATCAACACAACCAGAGAACATTTAACGAGAATTTTGGCACTTCCAAGGCACAAAACCTGGAGTTTTTTAGGATTTCAGCACCACCAGCAAGAACATTTCATGGGAATTCTGGCACTTCCAAGGCACGGTTTGGGTGAATTTTAGGAATTCATCAACACAACCCAAGAACATTTCATGGGAATTTTGGCACTTCCAAGGCACAATTTGGGTGAATTTTAGGATTTCTCTCAACATCAACACAACCCAAGAACATGTAATGGGAATTTTGGCACTTCCAAGGCACAATTTGGGTGAATTTTAGTGGAGTTTTTTAGGATTTCAGCACCACCAGCACATCCCAAGAGCGTTTTCTTAGGAATTCTCTGATTTCCAAGGCACAACCACAGTGGGTTTTAGGAATTCTCTCAACATCAACACCACCCAGGAGCATTTTTTTAGGAATTCTCTCATTTCCAAGGCACAAAACTTGATGGTTTTTAGGATTTCAGCAACATGGACACACTCCAAGAACATTTCATGGGAATTTTGGCACTTCCAAGGCTCAGTTTGGGTGAATTTTAGGAATTCATCAACACAACCAGAGAACATTTAACGAGAATTTTGGCACTTCCAAGGCACAAAACCTGGAGTTTTTTAGGATTTCAGCACCACCAGCACATCCCAAGAGCGTTTTCTTAGGAATTCTCTGATTTCCAAGGCACAAACACAGTGGGTTTTAGGAATTCTCTCAACATCAACACCACCCAGGAGCATTTTTTTAGGAATTCTCTCATTTCCAAGGCACAATCTGGGTGAATTTTAGGATTTCTCTCAACATCAACACAACCCAAGAGCATTTCACGGGAATTCTCTCATTTCCAAGGCACAATCTGGGTGAATTTTAGGAATTCCAGCACCATCAACACAACCCAAGAGCATTTCATGGGAATTCTCTCACTCCCAAGGCACAAATCCTGGTGGTTTTTAGGATTTCAGCAACATGGACACACTCCAAGAACATTTAACGGGAATTTTGGCACTTCCAAGGCACAGTTTGGGTGAATTTTAGGAATTCCAGCACCATCAACACAACCCAAGAGCATTTCATGGGAATTCTCTCACTCCCAAGACACAAAACCCGGTGGTTTTTAGGATTCCAGCAACACGGACACAACCCAAGAACATTTTTTAGGAATTCTCTCATTTCCAAGGCACAATCTGGGCAAAATTTAGGATTCCAGCAACACGGACACATCCCAAGAACATTTTTTAGGAATTTTGGCACTTCCAAGGTACAAAACTTGATGGTTTTTAGGATTTCAGCAACATGGACACAGCCCAGGAGCATTTTTTAGGAATTTTCTCATTTCCATGTCACAAACCAAGTGGGTTTTGGGAATTCTCTCAACATCAACACAACCCAGGAATATTTCATGGGAATTCTCTCATTTCCAAGGACACAAAACCTGGTGGTTCATGGGAACTCTTTCAACATCAACACAAGCCAAGAGTGTTTTTTTAAGGAATTCTCTCATTTCCAAGGCACAATTTGGGCAAATTTTAGGAATTCTCTCAACATCAACACAACCCAAGAATTTTTTTTAGGAATTCTCTCATTCCCAAGGCACAAAACTTGATGGTTTTTAGGATTTCAGCAACATCAACACAACCCAAGAGGATTTCATGGGAATTTTGGCACCTCCAAAGCACAATTTGGGCAAATCTAGGAATTCATCAACACAACCCAAGAACAATTCTTAGGAATTCTCTCATTTCCAAGGCACAATTTGAGCAAATTTTGGGAATTCTCTCAACATCAACACATTCCAAGAACATTTAATGGGAATTTCCTCATCTCCAAGGCACAGTTTGGATGAATTTTAGGAATTCTCTCAACACAACTCGGGAGCATTTAATGGGAGTTTTGGCACTTCCAAGGCACAATTTGGGTGAATTTTAGGAATTTCAGCACCATCAGCACAATCCAAGAATATTACTTAGGAATTCTCTCATTTCCAAGGCACAATTTGGGCGAATTTTAGGAATTCATCAGCACAATCCAAGAGCATTTCTTAGGAATTCTCACACTTCCAAGACAGAATTTGGGCAAAATTTAGGAATTTTCTCAACATCAACACAACCCAAGAGCATTTCATGGGAATTCTTTCACTTCCAAGGCACAAAACTCGATGGTTTTTAGGATTTCAGCAACATGGACACAACCCAAGAACATTAATGGAAATTTTGGCGCTTCCAAGGCACAATTTGGGTGAATTTTAGGAATTCTCTCCTTTCCAAGACCTGATTTCGGGGGTTTTTAGGAATTCTCTCCTTTTCAAGGCCATTTTTGGTCATTTTTAGGAATTCTCTCCCTTCCCAGATCATCTCCTGGGGGTTTTTTAGGAACTTCCTCACCACACTTGATCTTCCAAGACCATTTCTGGTGGTTTTTGGAATTCTCTTCCACCCCAGACCATTTTTTGATGGTTTTAGGAATCGTCTCACTCGAAAGACAAAATCCCAGGGTTCTGGGGAGCTCTTTTCTCTTCCATGACAAAATTTCAGGGATTTTAGGAACTCTTTTCTCTTCCATGACAAAATTTCAGGGATTTTAGGAGCTCCTGTTCATTCCATGCCAAGATTCAGTGGTTTTGGGACCACCCAAGGCCCTTTTTGGGGGTTTCAGGACCTCTCCTGAGCATCCCCGAGGTGCCGTCACCTCCCAAAAACCCCAAACCCACCAAATCTGGGCTGGGGGGGGGGGCCCAAACCCCCAGGAACATTCCAGAAACACCCCAAGGAACATTCCAAGGAACACCCCTGGGAATGTTCCAGCAACACCCCAGGAGCATTTCAGGAACATTCAAGAACACCCCCAGGAACGTTCCAGAAACATTCCAGGAACACCTCAAGAACATTCCGAGGAACGTTCCACCAGCACCTCCAAGAACATTCCAGCAACACCCAAAGAACATTCCAGAAACACTTCCAAGAACACCCCCAGGAACATTCCAGCAACGCCCCAAAAACACGCCTGGAACATTCCAGGAACATTCCAAGAACACCCCAGCAACACCTCCGGAACATTCCAGAAACATTCTGGCAACACCCTAAAGAACATTCCAGGAACACTCCGGGAATGTTCCGAGAGTACCTCAAGGAATGTTCCAGAAACATTCCAGGAACACCCCCCAGGAACATTCCAGAAACACCTCAGGAACATTCCAGCAGCATTCCAAGGAACATTCCAGCAACACCCCAGGAACACCTCAAGGAATGTTCCAGGAACATTCCAGCAACACACCAAGGAACATTCCAAAGAACATTCCAGAAACATTCTGGCAACACTCCAAGGAACATTCCAAGAAAACTCCCAGGAACATTCCAGAAACACGTCCAGGAATGTTCCAGCAACATCCCAAGAACATTCCAAGGAACATTCCACGAACATTCCCGCAACACCCCAAGGAACATTCCGGAAATACCTTCAGCAGTACCCCAAGGACATTCCAGAACATTCCAGCAGCACCCCAAGGAACATTCCAGAAACACTTCCAAGAACATTCCAGCAGCACCCCAAGGAACATTCCAGAAACACTTCCAAGAACATTCCAGCAGCACCCCAAGGAACATTCCAGAAACACTTCCAAGAACATTCCAAGGAACATTCCAGCAACACCCCAAGAACATTTCAGGAACACCCCAAGGAACATTCCAGAAACACTTTCAGGAACATTCCAGAAACACCTCCAAGAACATTCCAAGAATATTCCTGCAACACCCCAAGGAACATTCCAGAAACACTTCCAGGGACATTCCAGCAACACCCCAAGAACATTTCAGGAACACCCCAAGGAACATTCCAGAAACATTCCGGCAACACCCCAAGGAACATTCCAGAAACACCTCCAGGAACATTCCAAGGAACATTCCAGAAACACCTCCAAGAACACCCCAAGGAACATTCCAGAAACACCTCCAAGAACATTCCAGAAACACCTCCAGGAACATTCCAAGGAACATTCCAGAGCACTCCAGGAGCACCCCAAGGAACATTCCGGAACGCCCCCATCCCCGGGGGTTCTGGGGGTGCCGTGGCCGCGGCTGGGCCCCGTTTTGGGACCATTTTGGGCCGTTTCTGGCCGTTTTTGGCCGTTTCTGGCTGTTTTGGGACCGTTTTGAGCCGTTTTGGGGCCATTTCTGGCCGGTTTTGGCCATTTCGGGACCGTTTTGAGCCGTTTTGGGGCCGTTTCTGGCCATTTCGGGACCTTTTCTGGCCGTTTTGGGCCGTTTTGGGGCCGTTTCTGGCCGGTTTTGGACCGTTTCTGGCCGTTTTGGGCCATTTTGGGGCCGTTTTGGGCCGTTTCGGGGCCGATTCCGGCCGTTTTGGGGCCGTTTTGGGACCATTTATGGCCGGTTTGGGCCATTTCGGGGCCGTTTCTGGCCGTTTTGGGCCGTTTTGGGGCCGATTCTGCCCGTTTTGGGGCCGATTCTGGCCGTTTCGGGGCCGTTTTGGGCCGTTTCGGGGCCGATTCCGGCCGTTGCGGGCCGCGTGGTGACTGTCGCCTGTGCCGCAGGGCCGGGGCGCGCTGGGAGCAGCCGCGGGTAAGAGCAGCCCCCCAGGAGGGGCCCAAAGGACTTTTTTGCCCCCCGGATCTGTGAGTAGCCCCTTTCGTCTCCTTCTCTTCTCTCTTTCCCGTTTTCTCCTCTTTCCGACCCAAAACGAGACGGTGCGAAAGTCTCCAGGAGGGAGGAATTGACCAAAACGCCGAGATCTGAGCCCGACCCTGGCCCCTCCCCCCAGCGCCGCGCGGGGTTCGTTAGCAGCCCTAATTAGGGATTGATGAGGTAGCAGAAATGAGTAATAACTGGGGACTCATTGATTAGCTAAAGTGAATTATAGTTGGGGGTTAGTTAGTTAAAGTAAATTATAATTAGTGATTAATTAGGTAGCTAAAATTAAATCAATAAATTGGTGGTTAATGATCTGAAATTGGTTATAATTAGTCATTAATTATCTAAAAGTAAGTATAATTAACTGTTCATTAATTAGCTGAAGTTACATAAATTGGTGATTAATTAGCTAAAATTAATTACAATTAGCAACGAATTAGCTATAAATATTAAATTCGTTATTAACTGTCTAGCTAAAATTAATTATAATTAACAACTATTTAGCTAAAATTAAATTATTAAATTGGCAATTAATTACTTAGCTGAAATGAATGATAACTAGCAATTAAGTAGCTAAAATTAATTAATTAATCGGTGATTAGGTAAAATGAATTTTAGCTAGTGATTAATCAGTTAGGTAAAACGAATTATATATAGTGATTAATTAGCTAAAAGTAATTATAATTAGTGATTGATTAGCTAAAATTAAATTAATTATTTTGTGGTTAATTAATTAACTGAAGTGAATTAATAAATTGGTGGTTAATTAAATATATAGAATGAATTATAATGATTCATTAGCTAAAATTAAATAAATTTTTACATCAGTGATTCATTAATTAGCTGGGTAATTAGCAGCCCGAGCGCTCTTTGTGCTCATTAACGACTCTGGGGGTCCCCACGATCTCCGGGAGGGCCCCAAATTCCTCATGGGGGGGTGGGGGAGGGGTCTGGGGAGCCTCAGCCCCTCCCCCACCCGTGTGACCCCCG